CGTACGCGCACTGGGGTACCCATCTGCGATAGCCTTAGAGGGCGGAGCTTACACGACCTCAAAACATAAAGTCCATTTCAAAACTACAGCCCTTTAAGAAGAATCTTGTCTGCCATCTGCTGGACACTTTTTGTTGTGCTCATATTTAGACATCCTATTTTGCAAATGCTGCCTTTTTGAAATTTGATATGCTTGTTTGTCTTTGTGTCTATGGTGTATAATGATGTGATTGTGATGCTGTATTTCTGAGTGTTTTATGTGCTGCAGAACAGGAACTTGCTGTAAAACAGCAATTATGCTGAGTCAGGCTTGATTTTTAGTAATCTTTTCCTGTTAAATCAATAAATCAAATCAAATCAAATCAATCTGATGGGTTGTATGGGTGTTACAATCCACCCTAAACCTGTCAGCCATTGTTTATCTAGCTGTATTAGCATTGTGCTTTGAAATTAGCTGAGGAAAAATGTATCACATTTTGCTTGAGAAGATACCTTTTAAATCTACATCAGTTTTATGATTCTAGCTATAGCTGTGTAAGGCACCAAAAAAATATACCTTTGGTCAAAAAAATTTACTTTCTTACCTCAAAATCATTTTTTTCTCATTAAAATTTGAACACACCAACTTTCAACCCTGATATCCACCATGTGAGGTTGAGAAGTGAGTGGCTTAATATTGAAATTATCACGACTTCTATCTGCTTTCTAAATGGTCAAACTGGTGGTGTTACAACTCACCCCGTGTTACAATCATCCCCGGTCTCCTCTACCTTAAAATTCATCCAGTCGTTCAGTCAGTCAGAGTTTACTTCAAATAGTGGCAGAACATCTTGTGCAGTTTGTTAATGCTCTGAACACTTGTTAGGAATTTGTATTAGCAACTGTCCACATACCAGAGAGGTGTCAGGTTGGCGCTTTGTCAACCAGATGTGGGTCTGGTCTGGCAATGTTGGCACTGTTTTTAAGATGTCATGCCACAACTGGCCCAGTCCTGGTTTGATTTATGCAGCCCAAATCTATCAGTGTCAGAACAGGACCTGTTGTGGTTTAGTGTTTTTGGTGCTGGCCCTTGCATGGACCTGCAAAGGGCCATCATTTTTAGATGTGTGTGAAACAATTAGCACTTTTGTATTTTAATCCCCACCACTGCCGAAAAGAATCTAAATGCTAATCAAAAATTCAAGATGGCCACCTTAGCTAACTTTAAATGGCTATAATTCAACCTTTTGTAGAATTATTGAGATGAAATTTATTGTGGAGTAGCTAAGAATAATCACATCCCAGTTGCTGATGCTAATCCCAAATTAAGCTAACCAGTAATGCTAATTTAAAAAATAGCTCAAATTCTGCCATTTTAAAACATATATATAT